ACATTTACCTGAGGTAGATACACTCCTTGGAGAGAACAATAATGGGAGAAAGAAGGGCTGTGTATGCACAGGGAGACAGCTGAGGGGGCACGAGTGCATGGAGGGATGGACACAGGGAAGAGGTAACTATTGGGAGGAAGTGGGAGGGGAGCTGTTGCTTTTGGGTAAATTGTAGTCAATATCATGAGACAAAGCGTAAGAGAACTGCTGTATGGAAAGTGAACTTGCTCTGTAAACTTTCACCCAAATTACAATTAAAAAAACAAGAAAGCTCCTCCTGAATGACACTGTCTAACAATTGAAGGCAAATTGCAGCCACTCATGACAATAAGGAAAAAGAGCATTCCAAGTAGAAGGTACAAGTAGTGTAAAGATCTTGAGGTAGTTAACAAAATTTGCTTAATTGAAATCTGAAGGAAAGCCAGTGTAGTTGCAGCCCAGTGTGCAAAAAGGAATAATGGTATAAACAATGTTAGAATGATAAGCAGGAACATGATCAGGTTAACCCAGGATAAGGAATTTGGATTCTATTTAAAGTACAATGGAAATGTTTTAAGTGGAGGATTTTAAATAAGGTAGAGATAATCTATTTTAAATTTTTAAAAGATGATTGATTCCAGCTTCTACGCCAAAATGGATTAAAAAAGAAGCAAGAGTAAAAGAGGGCACTTTTATGTTATGAGGCTATTACAGTATTCTAGGTGAATTATGATTCTAGAATGTTAGAGAAAGAGACTGAAAGAAATAAATGGATTTGGGATATACTGTGTAGGTGACATCTACAAGATTGACTTTTTCTATTGGATGAGGTGAGGCAGTAACGAAAGATAACACTTAAATTTTTATTGCAGCAATTGGTTGGTAATTGGTTTGTTTAGCTGAGGAAGGTTGGGAGAAAACGGTAGATAGGGAATGGGAAGGAGCTCTGTTTTGGCTGTAAAGTTGAAACGTCTATTTTATATCCAGAAATATAGATAGTTAAGAGATATGAAAATAGCATTACAGGGAAAGGATGAGGCTAGAAGCAGAGATTTGGGCCTCTCTAATATTGTAGTGTTGGTGAAGAATATTAAATATACCACAGAATGGCAAAGAAAAAACAAATCTGTCCTGGAAAAGGTACAGCCGGAATGTTGCTTACAGGCAAGAATGCCAGACTTTATCTCACATACTTTGGTCATGTTGTTAGAAGGGATCAGTCCCTGGAGAAGGATATCATACTTTGTAGAGAGAGGGTCAGCAAAAAAAGTAAAGACCCTCAACAAGAAAACAAGATCTGCCAATAAATGAAATGGGATATGTGGTTGCAGAAGGTTTTTTCCTAAAGTAAAGAAATTATAGATCAATAACCTAATGTATAATGTGTAAATTATCTAATGTACCTATTTACAAAATTAGAACTACATTTATGAAGACTATTGAAATCTTCACTGACCGAAACCCATCAATCAGAATCCTACTCATACTGGAAGACAAAGCAATAAATTAAAATCATAACCCAGAATTTTAAAATAACCTAACTAAAAGCATGGCTAGTTTATATTCAACTCAATGTCCTACACATAGCCTATGGGGCTACTAAATAATCCTGCTAAATTAGGAATAAGATTCATAATTATCAATAAAGAACTATTTATATTCACTATATTGTTTTGAATAAGACAAAAGGTCAACTAGCCATCTTTTAAAAGTTTAACTGGCTAGGAATAACTTCCCAAGTAAACTAGTTAATCAAAGTTTACTAACTTTAAAATATTCTGAAATAATAAAACACATTTTTAATACAAAGGAAGCACAAATAACACTGATAGACAAAAAATTCTTACTTAATGAGACTATAGCACACAGCTCGGAGGGGATCATGGTCTTTCTTCCTTATATTATTGTTTACCATACTATCTAATTCATCTCGAGCAAACCAAAGTTGAACTTCTGTTACACTGTAACTTGCTGATTCCCGAGCACCATCCTCAATATTATGAGCTTCATCTAAAATGACAACCTGTTCTTTCAGATTGATATCCATCTGTAAGATAAAAGGATTTTCCTGTGAAACATTCAGCCAGAGGCACTGCCTAATTTAACAGCAGCAGGCAAATGATTTTATTTAAAATTGTATATTATATGCCAATATTACAAGTACCAATCATATAAGCAACTGATTTGAAGTCTTACAAAAATTCTAAAGACTAAAGCCATAAAATAACATCAGCTCAACATTAGAGTTTCCCATTTTTCACTGTCAAAATACTTTGCAAACCTATCAACCAAAAAAATGTGTTACGTGAGCCTAGATCAAGTCTACTGTGACTCATGGCCACCCCATGTGTATGAGCAGAACTGTGCTTCAGAGAGTTTTTAACGGCTAATTTTTTTAGGAAGTAAATCACCAGACCTTTTTTTCTGGGCCATCCCTTAGTGGACTCAAACCTCCAACTGTACCATAACAGCTGAGCATGTTACACATTTGCAGCACCCAGAGACTCCACTGACTACATTGTTGTTGTTGTTGTTATGTGCCGTCGAGTCGGCCCCGACTCATAGCGACCCCTCCTTGGGTTTCCGAGGCAGTATCACTACGGAAGTAGGATAAAATTCTCACTATAATGGAGTCTTCAACATGATTTTAAAACACAGTATAAAACCTTTAAAAACTAAAATAACAATGCAAGATTCAAATGACTCTCAAAATACTAATAGAATGAAGTATATACCTCTTCCATTTTAGTCTGTCCTGCCACTCTTCTGAGAACTGTTCTTTCCCAACTCCCATGTGATGCTAGTAGGCTTGTTGATCTGTTAATCAAGGGACATCGCCACTCTCACAACAGGCAAAGGCTCATAACCCAGGCTTCTCAGTTAAATAAAGTATTCCATCCCTCTGTGATCACAGTGACCGGTTCAGGAGTGGATATGTGACTCAAGCTATGACAATCAAAATAATTTCGTGGGTCACCGTGAGTTGAATCAACTCTATGGCAACCTAGCAACAACAACAATATGAGATTATGTTCTCTTCTCCAGGTTAGCTAGCTGCTCATTGTTATCTTTGTTCCCAACAGGAAAGAGCTTGCCTAAGAATAAAACCTTCACAAAGAAGGTAGAGTCAAGTATCTTTTCTTAATCTCCTTTTAAGTTGAGTTTGTGTCACTTGTAATTGAAAGAGCCTTGACTACTACAACGAGAAAATCACAAAGGAAGTAATAATAGAGAGCTAAAGATGACTGAGAAAGAACCATGGAAAAGTAGGATGATAAGTAAGAGTTAGACAAAGAGAGGACAGGGCATTTCAACAGAGATACTGGAGTCTCTAGAGGGGTACAAACCACATCCTCTTTCAATGTCAAAATGACCCCAGGGGTTGTGGCTGCAGCTTGTGGGCCAGCACAGCAGGGGGAGGAGCTGCCAAGGCAATGAAATCACTAGGGTTGGTATAACCCATCATCCAGTACGGTACCTCATTATTATCACCACCATACCCACTCCACCTCCTCACCCCCATTACTTAGCATGCTCCCATCCCTGTTACCCACCAGTCAGGGTGCAGGTGTGCCAGGGCACCCACCATTGGATGAAGAGGAAGAAGAGGCCAATAGGAAAGAAGAGGAGGTGTAAGGAGTCACGAGGATGCTCAGCCCTAAGGTGGCAAGTCAGGGCTAAGGACCACTCCACCCACAATTGAGTGTTACTGGCTGGCCTCGTTCATGAGGGAGGGTGTGACACCATGAGTTACTGCAACCCTGCACTGTAACCCTAGTGATGCCACTGAACAGAGGTGTTATCAAAGAAATAGGAAAAAAAACAAGGTATCCTCAAATGACTGAAGTAATTTTTGAAGGATACAAGTTAAGACTTCTGTAGCAGAAGGATAAAAAGGCAGATTATGATCAGACTATTGAGCACCTTCTATGTAAGTTTAAGAAATATGGACTTTATTCCATGAGCAAAGGGAGCAATTGGAGATTTTCTAAATAGAAGAAGGATGTAATAAAAGTAATATTAGGAAGACTGACCTGGCACTCATACATACAATGACCCAGAGGGAAAAAACCTAGTTAACAGGAAGCCAAAAAGGAGGCAAGATAGCAAGGTAATGAACATTGCCGTTGTTGCTGTAACTGTTAACTGCCCTAGAGTTGGCCCTTGACTCATGGTGATCCCAGATACAACAGACCAATGTGCTCCAGAGTCTGGCTGATTGGCTGATTTTCAGAAGCAGATCCCAGGCCTTTCTTCTAGTTCATCTTAGTCTGGAAGCACTGCTAAAATCTGTTCAGCATCACAGCAACATATAAGCCTTCACTGACAGATGGGTAAAGGCTGTGCTTGAAATATACTGGCCAGGAACTGAACTCACGCCTCCCTTATGGAAGGCATGAGTTCTACCACTGAATCACTACTGCCCCAAGGTAATAAACATAATGCCTTATTAATTTAAAAATATAGAAAGCTAATGAGAATTGTGCAATCAATAGTAAAAAGAGGAATAAAAATTGAATATATCAAGTGACTCACTTTTTGTTTCATTCTTTAACAAATGTCTGTCTCTAAGATAAACCAGGTAAACACAAAGCATAATTTGCACATGCATGCATATTCTCCCAATATAAATTCTTTGAAACATACCTTATTCAGAGATTTTTAGGTAATTTTTTCTATTATTCATAAAAGGGAGCTCTGGTAGCATAGTGCCTAAGGCACTTGACTGCTAACAAGAAGGCTGGCGGTTTCAAACCCACCAGCCACTCCTTGGAAGGAAGATGGGGCAATCTACTTCCATAGTGATACTGCCTTGGAAACCCAAGGAGGGGGTCACTATGAGTCGGGTCCGACTCGACGGCACATAACAACAACAACATTCATAAAAGGAAAGACTGATAACTACAGTCTAATGAGTCTCAACTGGGGGTGATCCTGTCGAACCCTCCCCCCAGGACATTCAGCAAAGTCTGGAGATATTTTTGATGTCACAACTGTGAGGGTGGTACTGACATGTAATATGTACAAGCAAGGATACTGTTCAACATCCCACACAAGACAGTCCATTACAACAAAGAATTATCCAGCCCCAAATGTCAATAATACCAAGGTTGAGAAATTCTGCCAAAGCCTCCCTTCAGTCACTGGGTTAAAATGACTAGGTCTAAAATTCAGTTAATGGACTTTAGAATGTATTTTCAGTAATTGAAGTTGTTTATACATTTACATAAATATAAAGCAAAAAATATAGTAAAAGACATTAAAACATCTAAAAGCTTTCATATTCATCACTTATATTTCAATAAGAAAAAAGTTTTCTAAATTTTACATATACACTCACACTTTCTCTTATTTGTGCATCTAGAAGATAGTTGTAGGGACAGAACACTATGTCAGCATCTTCTATTAGTTCTCGTGCTGTGTAATATGGACATGCCTTTAGTTTTTTCCCCAGGCTGACAAGTTCTTCTATATCCCAGGCCTTGTCCATCCCTTGGAGAATCTGTAATGTGTGTTGATCACTAATTTTATGAACACCATGATAAAAATAGCAGGATTTTCCCTGGAAACAAATACATATAACTGAAATGCAAATCAATATTGCAATAGAAGGAATAAAACAAGCTTATCTCAGATTTTTAGGAACATTACTAAAGCAACAAGGCAAAGATTTTATAGAGGAGAATGATTATACCACATCTATAATCACAATGACTTTAAAGAAACTGTGTTAGTTGACTCAGCTAGGGCTTCGATTCAGTACAGTACCAGATACCCCAAATTAATTTGAGAAAAATACTTTAAAATTATGTTTGTTGTGCCTCTATGTTGACTAAAATGACATCAGGCATAAAATATTTCTGGAAGAATACACAAGAACAATGATATTACTGGTTACTTTCAAGGAGGACAACTAAGTGATCTGGGGATAGGAGTGGGAGAATTTTTTTCTACAGGCCATTTTATACCTTTTGAATTGTGAACTATGTGACATATAACTTATTCAAATATAAATTTCTGGTTCTAGTTAAAATTCTTTTTTCCTTAATTGAAATAAAAATTAGAGAAATACATTGCTTTTCCAGCATAGGGGCACTTTAGTAAAGGAAACAGTGAACAAAAACACATGTGCTTTTGAATCAAGCCAAAAAATCAGAAAGTTACACTTTAAGGGCACTTAGAATGACATCCCTGTTCAGGCTGATAGCAAAACCAGAGAAGCTCATCCGTTTTAGCAGTGTAACACAATCCTGAGGGGAGTCTGTCAGTTGAAGTGTTATCACACTTTAAATTCTTTTCACTCAAACTGTCAGTTATCTATTTATCATTTCGCTTTGGTAGTTCAGCCATAGTAAACACAGACACCTATGGTGACTTTGTAATTGGCCTTCATTACAATACCAAATCACTCTGAGGGCTTGGGAACAAGAAAAGAAATGTTCATTTATGTATGCCTATGAGGTAAGCATTCTGAGGCAGCAATAAGGTGGAGGCAAACAATCGTAAGAAGGTATCTTCAATTATTTACATTGCTACTACTAAAAAGTAAAATCTTTGATTACTTTAAATCAAAACTTAAAAGTCAATGGAAAATTCTCAACATTAAAATCTTTTGAATTACTTTTTATTCTTACATGATCTAAATTTAAGAGAGTAAAAATCAATCAAAAAGCATAACCAACTCTGTAGGGTTCAAAAACATTGCTATTTGCTTTAAATATGCAATCATAAATTTTATAATTGCTTTTACCAATGTGATAATACGTAATACATTATATAATAATTTTCCCCATCACAAAGGAAAAAAAGATAAAAAAATAATGACAATGCCAACAAATCTTCTTGCGTAGACTAGATAGCCAAAATATAAATCTCAAGTATTTGAGGAATTCAGCAGATCCATTAGCCACTTTTTATAGAAAGATGTCTACTTAAGCATAAAATTTCTGGGGTTTCATCATGAAGATTATTTATTTATTTATTTAACATTTTAATGTCTTCTTAAAAGGAACTTTGTAAATATACAGAATGAATTTCACAATTATTCAGTTAGAATTTAAAAATAAATAAATAAACCTTATCGTAGACCTTCAACCAGAGTTCTGACTCAGTAATTATGTATTTTCTTCCTGTCTCTGAATAAGGAACTTAAGTTTTTTCACTGGGATCCTTAGTGCTCAAACTTCATATTCTTATAATGTTTGAATAGCTATTAAAGTATCTTCTGAGTATCCCTAAATAAAGCCTGAATGTATTATGACCTAATTTTAAAAAATGAGAGAGAAAACTGTAATACAAAATAATGTAACACATTATATGGTAAGGAGGTGATAAATCAATGACATAAAATTCATAGTCTTTTATGTAGAACCAACTCAAAATACTAACGAAAGGCAACAACTTACAAAAAATATTAAAATATCATTGGTCATTCCATATACTATCAATAGGGTTCAATGATAATTTCTGGTGTATTTCCTGACTAGAAACTTTAATTTTAGAGTGCATTAGTTATCATCCTGGTACACAGATTCCCAAACTAAAACTGCCAAAAAAATTATTTAAAGATGATTTAAGTTTTTAAATAAGACTTCTTTCTTTCCATCTGTTCTGCATTCATTTATTCTAGTTTTTCCTGGCAAATTTCAAATCCTCCAATGACATCTCTTTTAAGTTAATAATTTATGTTTTGAAAGAAAAGTTTGAACTAATCAGAATTATGATTATGATAGAAGATAATTGTTATATGTCTCATCCAATTAAAAAACATCTTAAAATTTACTGAGAACCTAAATAAATTTAGGTTTTTAAATATGTAAACTTTAATTATTAAGCCGAATCATGTAACCACTTTTATCTCCTCATATGACATGTTTGACTATTTTTGTTAGAAAGATTTAAAAGACAAAAGAAACAAGACATTTGACTACAATAAAAATTAACTTCAAGGAATTAAGTATCTCCAAGCTTTAGGGCCAAAGCCCATCATTTTAAACTTGAATAAAGATTTTCTTATGGTAAAATTATTTTTCAAAAAATGTAAATACTGAAAATAAATAAATAAATACTAGCAATTAATTTGATTTTCATAAGTTATTTAATTATCACTGGAAATTGACATATAAACACATATTGTATAGTTTGAATCTTTTCAGCCTTTTTTTACTCCCTCTAAAACAAAATAACTTTACTTACATTTTTTCCATCTAGCAATTCCATGCATTTTTCTTTTCTGTTGAAGTTACCAACTACTTCAGGATGGACACAAGTATGATCCCTGCTAGAAAGAATAGTCATAGGGACCCTGGAGTACGCTGTCCTCCGGAGTTCTCTAGTAATCTGAGCAATCTGTTTGTGTGTGCGTGTCCCAAAATATATTTTGGGTATCTTCAATTTCCCTCCATGATCCTTCTTAATAGCGTTTGAAGAACCTTGACTGTTTCTTTGTTTAGTAGAACAGCAGCACCTAGAACAATGGCCAGGGGGCTGTAACAAAGTAAAGAAAAATGAACTAATGTTTGGACTACCATAAAAAAATGTTATCAAACTCTCATAGGATCAAAACCTGTAAGTAAAGAATCACAAACATCAAAGATGTATTTTAGGATATTACAGCATCTAAAACTTGTCTTTAAAAAAAAACCCTGAAAACTCCCTTTCAAATTGCACTTTTAGTTATAAATGATCTTTCTATACTTGCATTGCATTCTAACATACCACTCTTGATATCAGTTTTAAGTACATTTTAATTCTTCTCTTTCACAAATTATACAAGCAATAAGAAAAATTACAATTTTAAGTTTTGCTTAAGTTTCATGTGAATGTATTGATATAGTTTAAAGTTGATAGTGCTGTTTCATTTACAGCATAGCCTATGTAAAAAAAAAAAAAAAAAAAAAAAACTCATTGCCGTAGAGTCAGATCCAACTCGAAGTGACCCCTCCTTGGGGTTTGCCAGGCGGCATCACTACGGAAGTAGATTGTCCAATCTTCCTTCAGGGGACATCCTATAATTTATTTCATTAGCAAAAGTGCTTCAAGTATAGCTTACAAATGGACAGAAATAACAAGTTGACTCTAAACTATGATAAAAAACAAGTAAAGAACAGAAAAATCTTCTTTGGTAAAGGTATGAAAATTAATGCAAAATATTAATATTTAATAATGAAGGCAGATTGCTTGTGTGGAACAAATATATATGAAATTCAATGACCTGTTACTGGAATGTAAACCCATCAGTAAAATTATCATTCAGGACAGCTTTTCCTGTACAATTTCACTCATTAGTCAATTTCATAACTGAAAGTTAAATAAATGTCTTCCTAAATACATCACATAGAACATCAATAATATAGTTCATATTTACCCTGATTTTTCTCTCCCATTTCTAAATTCTCAACAATTAAAAGAAAAAAAGTTTAATGCTACATATTAGAGCCCACAGATTCTTAATAACTACCCTTTCTCAGCCTCAATTACTACACCAAATGAGATAGAATGAAAGTTCATTTAAGACAAATATTGTGAAGTGCTTTTACTTTATAGAAATAGTCACTGGTGGGGGGGGGGCAGGGAGAAAAAAAACAAAAAAAAAGCTAAATAGCACAGTAACTTTTAAAGAATCCATACTGGAGAGTTTTAGTTTAGGACAATAAATACTCTACTTAACTGAAGATTTTTTTTTAAATTGTAATCAGTAAGATTAGCCTTCACAAACAAATACTAAGTCATAGCATGTTACACCACAATACTGGAGATCAAGCTGTCTTTTAGCCTCAACTCAGTGAAAAAGCAAGTTCAAATTACTCTCAGTCCTGCTCAACCTTGTCCACCATTAAATATTACAATACATGATAGAATGGATGTAAATGTGACCCTTCTGGAGCTGTCACTCACTGGGATAAAAGGTTCACTGATGTGCCAAATAAACAGTCAGTCAAAGCAGATAAGGTTACAGCCATGCTGGAATTGTTACATTCCCCTCTCAGGTTGCCAGTAACAGCAGATTTCATTACGGAGTGCTGCCACATTAAATAGCCAGTTCCAAATATCCTGCCTTCGATATTGAATAATTACTTATTCACTGAAAGAATAAAAAGAAGAGTTATGAATGGGGCTCTTGTCAACAGGGAGGCAGGTAACAGCTGACATGTGGTGTATGTTACACATGTTGCAATATCCAACAATTTATAGTCCAGAAAATGGAATGCAAATTATATCATGATATTTCTGACTGAATTCCTTCTTGGCTTTAGGAATTATCACATTAATTAATTAACATACTAAAATAATTACTGTTACTCAAGGTAGCAGAATTCCTTTACTTTTTCATGACTCAATTTATTCACTCAATTATACTTTTTCTCTTCTTCGTGATACAGTTAAATTCATTCTAAATATAAGAATGCTAGGGCCCAATGTATCAGTATATACTACATAGAAATATTATATCCAGGAAATAAGTAATCCAATAAAGTAGCTTCTTCTCAAGTAATCCAATAAAGGCTTTTCTTAAGGCTTGGAAAACCTACTTTTTGATACAACAATTTTCAACATCAACTTCATTTAGTTATTTTACCAGATATTCTTTTTTAATTATAAAAAAATTTTGGAATTAAAATTTTTCCTGATCAAAACATTCAAATAATCCAAAAATATACAAAACAAGTCAACTCCCTCTACTACAAATGACTTAGTATATAACTTACAGACCTTTATACATATATAGAAATATCTATCATGCAATTTTTTCAAATAAAATGGAATGCTATTAGTCAGTTTTATAACCTGCTTGGTATTTCACACATCTTAATATTTAAAAGGAGTGCATTTGACACTAATAATTTAAATGAAAGATTTGCTTATGTTAAAATGTTGTGCTAGATTCCATACTGGTTTCAGAAAACTTCTCCCATTAGAGTGGCTTTATTTATATACCTTAAATCTTACTTTTCAAAAAAAAAAAGGGGGGGGGGCATTTTGCCAGTCTGATAGAGCTTGGTAGAACAACTGATACTATGACGCCTACCTGACCTTCAGGTCTGGAATTGAACCCACACCTGTGGTTTCCAGCCAAACAAAATACAGTGAGTTAAACATTTACCTCAAGTAGATACACTCCTTGGAGAAAGCAATCATGGGAGAAAGAAGGGCTGCTTATGCACAGGGAGACAGCTCAGGGGGCAGCAGTGTATGGAGGGATGGACACTGGGAAGAGGTAACTATGGGGAGGAAGTGGGAGGGGAGCTGTTGCACTGTGGTGAATTGTGGTCAGTGTCATAAGACAAAGTATATGTGAACTGCTGTATGGAAAGTGAATTTGCTCTGTAAATTTTCACCCAAATCACAATTAAAAAAAAAAAAAATCTTTTCATTCAATAATTGAGAAAATTATAAACCAAGGCTGATTTTACATTAAACATATGCTTGTTTGCTTTTAAGTTTTAATTACACAATTTATGAATTGGACACAGACTCCTCATAAAGGGGATTTTTCAATAGATGGTTTGGGAAGTAAAAGAAATTAAGAGAAAAAGTTGATTTCTTTTTCCTTTGCATTATTAAAGAGGAATTATTTCTTTAGATGTGATCTTTATTGAAGTTTCTATTAAATAGAATACGATTATATTGCAAGATGGAAAAAACTCAACGTGACAGAACAAAGGTTCAAAAGACATTTCATACAATAACAAAAGATAATTATATGTACCTAAATCAGCAACTTTCAATGTTATAAGAAAACTAGACAAAGGATTCCAATGACAGCAGTAACAGGAGGTGAGAGTATTTCCTAAATCCATTAATAGGTTAACGATTATGGATTCTCTCTGAAATCCTTTGATATAAGGGTCTTGAAACAATTATACGACTAAATAATTTTATACCTTTCCGTAAGTATTTCTCCTGGTCAGCAGTACCTACTAAAAAAGATAAGATTTGTCTTTCCTAGGATTTTTTTACTTTTGCTTTTGTTCTTTAAAAATCAGAGATTGTTTTAAGAGACAGAAGAATAAATTTTAAAATATTCACTCTTACACAATGTATCTGAAGGTCAAGAGAGTTGAAACTCACAGGCTCCTAAAAACCTGTGATGTCTGAGGTGCAAGGAGCTCTGGGGCATAGTGCCTAAGGCATTTTTGACTACTAACCAGAAGGCTGGTGGTTCAAACCCACCAGCCACTCCCTGTAAGTAAGGTTGGGCAATTTACTTCCCTAGTGATACTACCTCGGAAACCCAAGAAGGGGTCGCTATGAGTTGGATCTGATTCAACAGCAGTGACTTTGGTTCTTTTGCTCTGAAGTCCAACTAAGTGGCTAGATTAAGTATCACAATTAAACACCTTAAGAGATGGCTTCTTCTCCCACAGCTAGAAACTGTTTAAAGTCCTTTTACTTCAACAAAAGGCTAGGAAACCCAATCAAAATTACATCATCTTTTAAAGAAAAACATAAGAGATACATGTGAGTGTGACTGATACATTATTTCCATATGCAGGAGTCAACTGTTTAAAAACACATCCCAAATCTACAATAGCCATAACTGTTCTTAGAAGATCAGCAACTAAGGATTTTTTGAGAAAGTTCCTTACGTGCAATAACTTCAGTCTATTCCTTCTCCTGTCTTGTTAATTTTTTTAAAAAAAGTGAAAGATTAGAAGATATAATCTTAAAACCAAAGACCGTCGCCACTATTCCTTTCACATAGTGTAAGATACTACAATGTCAACTTCTAAAGTTTCATTACCTTCTCCTTCCACACACAGAAACAATTTCCACAGCTACATACACTTAAAAAATAAGCATGGTGATTAAATATTCTTAGAAGTGGGAAAAAAAAAAAAAGAAACAGAAATGAACTTCACTGCCAGGGAAGAAGTACTTTCATTGCCAGAGAAGAAGAAAATCAAGAGAACTTTTAAAAGGAAGCTACGAACTGAATTCTAAAAGCATGCATAAAACAGTATATTTAATATAAAAAAATATATATATATAAATAGAAAGGAAAAAACAGAATAAAGAGAAGCTTAACGCATGAAATAAAAGGAAAACTAGGTCAATAAACAGTAACTTGTATCTTTTCTTCAACTTCCATACGTAATACTGAATATTGTAATACTGAATTTCAAACCACATTGTAAATACCTTGAGAACAGAAACTATGTCCTATAATGCTTTAATAACTCATTCATTAAGCATGATGTTTTGCATATAACTGAAACTTACTTTTTTTAAATTGATGGAACATTGATGATCAATGTTCCCAAATCAACTGCTGTACCTATATATCATGTTTTGTTTATCTGATAGACACTTAAATGATGTCCTAATTTGAAATTCTTCATATTTCAAAAAGTTACTACAAAAGGAAAAACTTGTTGTTATGTACCGTAGAGTCAGACTTGACTCATAGAGACCCCTCCTTGGGTTTCTGAGGCGGTATCTCTACAAAAGTAGATTGCCCAACTTTCCTTCCGAGGAGTGGCTGG